GGTTTTCTCTCACATAGAACTGACACACTTGATTCGCTAGTGTCAGGATTTACCATTTTACAGGATGGCAAGGAACGCTGATGAAACATTTCTTTTCCGGGTTGTTCTTTCTCATGATCAGGATGGCTGTATTTTGAAAGTAGTTACGCCATTGGCAATTTGAGGGAGAAATATGTTGTCACAGCGGTTTGATCAATTTCCAAAGACATTTCATTCATCTGCCTCAAGAGGATGATGTAGGTGGCTTGCACGCTTACTTGCAACTTACATGTTCTGAGCATTTACAAACATTAATTCACTACATCCTCTCAACAGCCCCCTGAGGCAAGCACAACTATCATCCCCATTTAAGAGTTGAGACGCCAAGATTTCATTCAAAGTTCCACGACTATTTTGAGGCACTGCCAGGGGGCTTCATTGTGTGCTGTCTGGTCCTCGCTCACCTCTCCAACTCCATCTTCTTCTCTCCTCTCTGCTGTGGTCCAGTCACATGGCTTCTGCTCCTGAATGTTCTGCCTCAGGGCCTTTGCACTTGCTCCTACCTCACCCCACCTCTAATATATGTATGTGCGTGTGGCTAGAACCTGGATCAGAAAATAAAATCATTTTATTTTTTTTCAGTGTTTGGGTAAAACAGATACTACTTAAAAAAAAATCTATGTCTCTTTGTGTGTGTGCATTTTTCTTTGCCACAACGATTGCTTTCTTCCACTGATTTAAATTGTATTCGTTTCATTTATTTACTCTAGGGGCCTGTCAATCAGATCTCCCTTCAAAGTTCCCACTGGGGAATTTGACAGAGATGGGCTCCAGGAACCTGAAACCAGGACTTTGACAAAGAGGTTTTCTGTTGCTTTAGCTGAGAACTTGGGGCTGCCCCGGAGGCTGCCGTCTTGTGTGAGGTGTCAGTGTTAGTACCACACTGGAGAAATCCAGCCTGGACAAACCTCTGTGGTCTGGTTAAGTCGGTGACTGTCTTTTGGACCCCCGTCCTGCAGGCCTGACTGGGCCGCATGTTAATTGCTCATCTCGCAATTGACCTAACACAGCATCGCTCTTCCTTGTTCTGCCTTAGATAACCAGTTCAGGATGTCCATCCTAGAGCGACTGGAGCAGATGGAAAGGAGGATGGCTGAGATGACGGGGTCCCAGCAGCACAAACCGGGCAGCGGAGGAGGCA